GAGGCTATTTTCCCATCATCGGAAGCCCCATGAACTCCTCAAGAATTCATTTCCTCGGACCAACCCGTGGTCGCTTTCCGAGGCCTTTTGGATGCCCGGACGGGAAGTCTGTGCATCGAACTGAAGATGACCACTTCCAAACTCCCAACTGAAGCGGAGCTCCAAGTTGCTTCACTTGGGGTCTGGCATTTCTGGACGTGTCCGCTTTTGTTGGTCCCCGTCCTCCATGCCTTCACCGCATGAGGGGTTCCCCAGCAGCGTGGCGTGTCTGACGTCCAGGAAATCGATGGTGATCTTCATTCGAATGGTGGGTTCCCGAACGGAGCGTTTGGGTCGGTTGGAGGCCAGCGCTGCGAACCGAGCAAGAGGACGCGTTTCTACGGAGCTTACGGAGCATCTGTCGCCCTGTTCGATTCATCTCCTCACGGGGGGCTCCGTTCGGGCGACCTCTGTTCGAGGGCTCGGCACGAAAAACACCACCCTTCAACTCGTTCAAAGCACAAACACAAAGCAAGAAGAAGAAACTGCGAAAGCCACCTCACCTCTGTTGGAAGCTTAGGCTTAGACGAAAAGATGTGAAGCCAAGAAGTCCCATGAAATCACCAGGTTTCCTCAACAAAGAACCCCACTATACCCCCACCTACATCCCGTGGCCACCGCCCGTGCTTTTCCACGGTCCACCCGCCCACACCGTGGCTTTTCCCCGCCTGGCCGGGCACCAGCGGTAGCATGGGTGGATCGTTGCTGGGCGCCTGCTTCACGGAGGGCTCGCTGCACTCCTCGAACGAGGCGATCGCGGCCCTCAGGCCGTGGGACTCGCCGGGCCAGCGATGGACTTTCTACTTCCTCACCTGCTCCATTCTGGGGTGTCCAACATTGAGCACGTATACGTGAGCCTGCGAGCCACTGGCAGCACTTCCATCCCACATCACCTTTCACGTGCCCTGCGACGCGCGAGCCAGCGCCCTGCGCGAGCACAGCCGCTGGCTCTTCACATCCAACACGAAACTTTCAGACTTCCCCTATAGGCTTCCTGCCCCACCATCAGACTGGCGGGTCATCCCGAATCAACGCGGATTTTACCCAAAAACCAGAGTCGTTCCCCTTGTTGTTACGGAAGTCGAACGGAAGTCGAACGGGAGAAGAATTTTCCTGTAATTATGTCTAAATCACTAACGTTACACCTCCCACCCTTTCCATGCCAAACCGCCCCACCCTTTCGGCGCGCAGCACGGCCCAGTTCGCGCGCACCTCACCCAGTTCAAAGGACTCGGTGCCGGCCGTGCCGGTCTGTGAGGGCGCCAAGCAGACCTCGACCGGCCGACCGGTGAGGATGGCAACAAGTCGGTGGGACCCAAAGAAGACTCGTTCGGACCGCCCTCAACTTCTTCACCATCCAGTGACTCTGGGTGGAATCCACCCAGGCTGGAGGCCATCGCTATTCGGGCCATCTTGGAGGCCATTGCTATTGGCTTCCTTTTGCTATTAGGTTGGAGGCCATACTGTGCCCAGCACTACGCGAAACACGAGCAACTCGCCCTTACCGTGCTGTTGCTCCTCCACTGTCAGAGGCCCGCCATCGGCCAACCTCTGACGGTTTCGGTGGGTCGGCACCAAAACCGCGGTGAGGACGCCAGGCTTGGCACCGACCTTCGTCTGTCTGGGAAGGGTGACGACGCGACCCACATCCAACCTCCGCCCAGGGCGATGGACTGACCGTTCGGAATACGAAAGCCATCCAGGACCCAACCTTCATCTCTCCATCGACGGCTCCCGCGCCAACGGCGCGCCCACGTCACCGTCTCTCACCATGGCACCACGGTCCGGACTTGTTCGATGACCTGGCTCTGAAAGACCAAGGAACCTGGCCGAGAAGGCCCGCAGGCCAGCGGCCCAAAACCAACGCCCCGGCGTGGCTGGGACGTGTCGCCAAAACCATCACCGTGGCTCGGCTAGGGCCGTGGAAGACGTGAGACCCGTTTGGACGTTCACCTTCATCGATGTGTGGCTGTTGCCGGGGGGGAAAAGCGCCCAGAAAAATGCGGCAGTGAGATCAGTTCCATCCTTCAGACAGTCTCTCCCGCGACTCTGGTGTCACACCAGAGGTTTGACCTGATACTAAGACCCGAAATCCAGGGGTATCTATACTAGCTGCTTCCGTTCGGGGTCACCAATGGGTATCTCCACACTACTTAAATGGTCTCCAGACAGGGCACCCCGACAGGAAGCGGGAGGTATAGGATAGTCGAACGTTCGGGTTCTGACCCACCTCTGCTGGCAGGGAAAAAGCTCTACCGATCCCAAAGACAGACCTGCCCCGCCGCGTCCACGTCCCGTTCTTTCTAACCCCCCCCGCTGTGGTGTTCGAGGCGCCAGTGGTGTTGGAAGGTGACCGGGAACGCGACCGGGGAGGGAGGTGACACAATAAGCCCCGGTAAACCCAGTGACACTCCAGCGGCACTCCTTTTCACACAGTGCCAAACCCGCACCTTGAACCAAGCCCATGGCTGCTTGCAACTCACCCATGGACTGTTCCACATCCGTCAGGACCTGCGCGCCGATTTGGCAACGCGGACCTCGACACATGACCGAAAAGGGCGCTTCCACACACGTTCTCGTGAAATTCTTCAGCAGAACCTCTTGGACACAGAATCCCTCCTCGTTCGTGGCATTTCTGTCGCTTCAGGAGGATGTCACCCTTGGAACCACAAAAGGAACCAGAGATCGCCTAGATGCACACTTGGTCACCTCAACTGCCCAAGGCTTCCCACAAACACGGCGGCACAAGGAGGTGGACTCATCCTGTTTCCACTCACTGTCGGTCGACCGGATCTGCCCCGCCCCCTCTTTCGGGACCTCCCACTCTCCCATCGGGTCCCTAGAAGTCCAGTTCGACGATATTTTCACCAACTGAAGGTAAAGGACATTCCTGAACTCGGGTCACCGTTCGTCAGACCATTCTTTGTATAGTCGACTTGACTCCCAGGAAGGTTGAAAAGGGATCGCCCCATCGCCGTCGCCCCCAAAAACCGTGCTTCAGACTCCCACGACGTGGCCACGCGGATCTCGTGGATCTCGTGTCGTGGACGGTCGGCTGGATCGGGTTTCCCTGTCCCCCATCATGGTGGCGAGAGAGACGCCGAGTGGCCCAAGACCAGTTCTGGAGGTCTCCAACCAAAGGACCACCCGCCCGCACCATGCACCGAACCGGACCACATCGCACCTGCAACTGCTCGCAGATGCGCTGCAGCGTGCCGAGCATCATGGCCCAGTCGGACTGGCCGCAGCGGGAAGCGACGAACCCGGCGACCGGGGGGTCGGACCGGCGACGCGACCCGGTCGGACCGGAATCCTGAGGGGTCTGGGGTCTTAAATGCCGGTTTTGAGGGACCGGTTGGGCGTCGTTCACGGAGCGTCTGGGCAGCACACCACACGGCAGAAAACCACAAAAGCCGATTGGTGGCCCGATCAATATGGGAACTCGCGCGGGTGGAGACCGGGTCTCAACGATGTTGACGGTCTCGGAGAGGCTTTCAACGACGGCTCCGCAGGATTCCAAAGACACCCCAAAGATGTTAGACACCCAAACCGCTGAGAACTCGTGTTTTGTTCTCTGTGTTTTGGCCTACCACCCAAGTGCTTTCTGCATGCAGTGCTTCAAACGTCAACGAAGCCACCCGTCGCTCCTGACTGGTGCTGCGCGTGTTGCGCGTGTGGCGCGCGCGCGGCGCGACAGCGGCGCGCCTCCCGAGGGCGCGACGTGACCGGATTGATGTGCACCGGGCTTCCCAGGCTGAAGCTGTTCATGGGATAACTCTCCATGGCGCCCCGAGAGTCGGTCCGCCGCCGCGACGACTCGGTGGGATGCCGTGGACGGTTTGTAGCTGGAGAAGGGCGGCAGGGGCTGAAGCACCGTGGTCCAAGAGTCCTGTCCGGCATCGCATCGCTTCAGCTAGAAGCTACTAGTAACAAGAAGCTACTAAAGAAGGGGCTCCTGGCCTTACTACGAACGGAGCGATCGGACGCTAGTAACATCGCTTCTAGTATAGCTTCTACGAGTGATGGTTTTGGTTGGTGTGCGAGGAGTCGGACATGATCTACACCTGAAGTATGTGAAACCCTTGGAGTCAGAGGGAACCCATTGAGTTCGTTTTGCTTTTCAGCACGGGGGACTTGCAACAGTGCCAGTCCGAAGAGGCTGTAGACTTGTCACTGAGATGGTCACTGGGTACGCAGAATCCCCGTACCTGCGCATGTGATGACATCGCCACTCGTTGCGCCCCAGCCGACCACTCGAACAAGCCGACCAGCCAACAGCCGACGGTTCTGCATTTCGACGCGGTGCACTGGAGCCGTTGGGGCATTTGGTCGGAGCCACTTCGGGCCACCAAACACTCCAAACTTGACCCAAGACCTCCAAGAGCAACTTTGTAATTTTGTAGCTTGAAAAAGACCTCCACCTCCAAAGCCTTCTTCCTTTTTTCTCAAGACCTCCAAGACCTGGACTTTGGAAAATGGGCTTTGCCCTGGTCGCCACCATGTGGCGAAAATGGGCTTTCAAGGATTCAGTACGCCAAACATGACCTGTGTGTGTGGACCTGACCTGTGTCACCTACGCAAGAGACCAAGGCCACTGGACAGCAATGTCAAGTGACTTCACTGAAGGTGGGAGGTGATTTGGTGTCTGGATGTGTCTGGTGTCAATGCCCTTCCAGAAATTGCAGCAAAAGAACAAGCACAGGAATCTCAGATCCATGCCGCTCATGTTGCATACATACTAGTTATTCGGGGCTTCCAGTCCTTAGCGCCAGGCCGCAGCCTGCCACAATCACCCGAGCTGTCACTTCGTGTCCTTCGAGCTGTCGTGCGTACTGAGACAACACACGACCCTCCGGCTACCCTCTGCACACCAAAGACTTCCCAGGCACCATGCTATGAGGGCCTGCTCTGGAGACCCACGGTCTAACCCGTCCGCGCTCAGACCAACCGGGCCCGCCGACCCCGGCGATCCGCCGTCGAGAGAGGCGCCTTAGGATGACTCCGGCAGTTTGGGCCATGGACTTCAACCTATTGGCATAGTTTCGGCCAGTTATAGTTGATTTGGTGTGTCAGGGGTTTATAGTCATCTACTTCCACTTACTAGCTAATGCCCACCTATACTTGATCAAGTACTAAAGCATGACTACATCAAACAAAAAAACACGTAGAAAGTGGAGTAACCCATAAAGCTGTTTTGGGTTCAATTCATTTTTCATCATCTTTCCATTGTCTCACTTCTTCTGATTCGCTTTCATGTCCCTTTCACCAGTTCCCAAGCATTATTCCTATAGTTTCAAAGGAAGGTGTATCTTCTGATTTCACTTTCTAACCATTCCACAAATTCTCAATTCGACTCCCCAAAAGAAACCCAAAAAACCTTGGCACATGTTTGGTCATTTAAGACAACGTTTTGGGGGGTGGGGGTGGCTCAACTGTTAATCATGATTTTCATCTGGGGACACATGATTTATCATGACTTATTTATATATGTGGACATTCTGATTCTGGGAAGATACTCCGAATATTCGAGTTGGCTGCCAAACTGCACTTATTCATGGATCCTCAGGCAGAGTGTGGATGTCTGCTAATTGCAGGAGGACTCGCTGAGTCGATTGGTATAGGATGCTATAATATGCTAATAGCTGACCTCTGCGATCCTGTGTTTCGTATTGACTGGCTCGGGGGGGAGAAGCTCACTGAGGCTGAGTGGCAAAGCTGGTTCGGTTGAGCCATCCTACAGTCAGCCTCGCTGGCTGACTGTTCCCCCGGTCCCCCGGTGCAGACGTGTTTTTGTTTGTTTGACTTCCTTGGAAATTCCAACTTTTCCAATTTTGCAAGATTGTCTGGAAAGCAGCTGACAAAAACTGGGGTGATTCGGGACAGTGCATCGAGACTGTTTCTGAGTGCATCGAGAATCTGGCTTGATGATCAGGGTTGTCAGGGAGTAAACACCTAACCGCAACAGGTCAGGCGCTTTTACTTTCTAACATCATCTCGATCCATAAGTTGCCCCAAGGCTCATGGACTAGTTTGGACCAGTGCTCCCTCACACCCTGGAAACAGCACAGCCCATCGGCACATCCTCTGACTTGTGAGAACTTTTCAAGCAGCAGATCCATTTTGGGGTGTCCAGTACTTGTCGTCTACTTGAGGATGGTGGTGTAGTTGGTGTAGTCGTCCATGTTAACCCCAAAATAGAGCCCATCAACTGCTATCAAAGTTCTACCAACACACATAGGGAAGATCAGGGAAAACCGGTTCACATGAAAACCAATCATGGCGGCATCGTGGTGTGGACTTTTTGCTCAAGGCAATCATGTACCTTTGCTTTCTCCACCGGGGAAGTATGCTATATAAAGAAATTGAAGACTTGCTTTTGCAACATGTTCATCTCCAAACCAGATCGCCCTTCTTCCAGCTCTGAGGTCCCTCGCAAAAAGCAATTCGCCAAAGCCCAGAGTGCGAACAAGTCCAACGCACTCCGGCAGCGGACTCGCCCTGGCACGTGCCACACGCAGTGCTGAGAGAGTCCCGTCTCGTTGCCGACCCGCCGCTGCGCCGAGAGAGTCTCACCGGCACGACGTGCCCAACTGACCACGAACAGTGCGAACGTCGAACATGAAGCCAAAGGCTTAGCTGGACATCTGCTTTTCCAGGAACCTCAGTCCGAACAGAAGACCTTCAGCAACCAGCTCTGCCAGCTGCCATCTCCTTGTTTGGTCCCTGGTTTCGGGTCCTTTCAGACAAACCAGCTCAACACCTTCCGGAACTCGGGAACACCGCCTCTCGGGCCGCCAGCCCTCTCGTCCGCTCCCCATCGGCCTGAGCGTTTCAGGGAGTGGAATGGGGACATCTGTCCGGACATCGATGGTTTGCGCGGCAGGAACGCACCTGCCTGCGATGGTGTTTTTTTTCCATCCAAATGTTTTTTCTCCTAAAATGGTGTAGAAAATTGTTTTCATCCAAAATGGTTTTCAGATGGTTTTCTTTCTCCTTTTTTCATCCAAATGGGTTTTCTCACATAAATTTGGCTGAAAAAAGGGAATCAACGACCTTCTTGCATTGAAGACACCCAAAACACCACAAAGAAGACACGCGTGGGCATACTGGGGCTTTCAAGAAGCCAGCCAGATATGCCAGGCGGATTAGGATGACTCACACCCATTTTTTCCAGACACTACACTCAGAAGCCATTGGCAAACCACTGACTTTGAAGAGTCACGCTAACCAGTGTGATTAACAGTTGGAAAAACCACGTGGAAAAGCTAGTTGCCTGAGAAAGACTCCTGAACATGTCCGAATTGAAATGCGGAGGTGCCTAATTCCCAGTCCATTGGAAAAGTGTCGATTCCCTTGATCTTCATTCTCAGCTAAAGGATTTCGGTCGAGCGTGCACATCCCTGCCTGCTAAACCATGCTAACTGCGCCCACAAACTCACATTTCACCACCCCCTACACGCCAGGATGGTCGGATAAATCGGAGAAAGTCCCGGCGGATGCCCTCTGCACGGATGTCCGTGACCAATCTGTAGACAGTTGCGACACTGTTTGGTTTCCCTCATTCGTCTTCCACAGCAGGTGAGACCCACAGAAACCTAGTAGCATCTAGTAACCTAGTAACAACCATATCTGCACCACCTCACTCTGGTACAGCCCTTTCTTTTGGAAACAGGGCAAGCTGCAGAACTCCCGAGAGCATTTACTCTTGGTACAGGAGCAGCCGTTGCTGTGAAGCTGCTTGAGAGCGGTTCATCTCAGGCCCACATCGGGTGATCCTCCAGCTCATCAGTGGCACATGATCCGGATTGATCACAAGAGGGTGGGGCGATCAGCAAACTCATTGCTACTGCTACAGTTCGATATTGCTATATATATATATATTGCTATTATAGTTTTGCTGGCCGAAACCTTCCCAAGCAGCCTCTTACTCAATTGCGATGCGTCCTTCGGACAGCAGCAAAGGTTAAATGCTCTTATAGTCACAGAGCTGCAAGCTTCTCACCGAAAAGCAGTTTTTGCTCTTGGTACGCAAGCAGCCAATTTCATTTTTGTATTTTTTTTGGAAAAGACTCAGGCCATGCCAGTACACATTGGGTGAACCCAACTTCAGCTGCATTTTTGATTCTTTTTCTCGGAATGTGGCTCAAGGACTTTTCCAAAATCATCGAGCAGCTGCAAGCAAAGCCATCATCTCCAACAAATCTGCAACGAGCTGCATTGCTCGAAGGCCATATCCCCAATGTGGGTGACCGAGTTTGGGATGGTCAATTTTGCCAAGCCGCTGCATTTTGAAAAGGCCCTATCGCCAATGTGGGTCACTGAGTTCGGGACTTCCAAGGTCACTAAAGACCTGCAACCACAAAAGGCATCCTTCCCAATGCCGATCACTGAGTTTGAGATGGTCAAGTCTGCCAAAGATATACAATCCTGGACGGTTCCTTCCTCGATGTAATTCACTGAGTTTGGGATGGTCAAACTCTTCAAGGAGCGGCAAGCCTTAAAGGCATCCTTCCCAATGACGGTCACTGAGTTTGGGATGGTCAAGTCTGCCAAAGACACACAATCTCGGAAGGCTCCTCCCCCAATGTATGTCACTGACGCTGGGATGGTCAACTTCATCAAGGACCGGCATTTCGCAAAGGCACCACGTCCCATGTATTTCAGGGAGTCGCCCAGGAAGGTCAATTTCTCCAAGGGCATTTCCAAAAGGCACCTTTTTCAATGCGATTCACCGACTTCGGAATGGTTAAGGTCGCCAGAGACCTGCAACCCTTAAAGGCATCGATCCCAATCCCGGTCACTGAGTTTGGGATGGTCAAATTCCTCAAGGAGCAGCAACCCTTGAAGGCACCATCCCCAATGTGGGTCACTGACTTCGAGATTTCCAAGGTCACCAAAAACATGTAACCACAAAAGGCATCCGTCCCAGTGACGGTGACGGATGTTGGGATGGTCAACGTGGTCACTGCTTTGCCGCCCACGTGGCCGGCCCCCTGAGAAGCTGGATCTTCACCCTCTTGGATTTCGCCATCGATGTGATGTGCATCGGTCTCGTCGTCGGAGCAGTTCAACTTGTTCTCTACCAGATCCGCATCTGAAATAAACACCTGTTCGAGTGTCTCGTCGCCCATACGACCTGCACATGAAATCTTCGCTGTTTTCGCTGTCTTGTCCGCATACTTGTTCATCAGCAACTGCAGCACATCAGAACGTTCTCGAACACTCATCCCTGGCATGATCACTGGGAGAGGAAGTTCCTGACTCCTGACACGTCTCGCAAGGTCCATGGTCTGTCTGGGCAACCTCTACGAAACCTTTCCGGACGTCCCGCATTTCAGCCGACCTTGATGCCAAATGCCTGCTGAACCGTGCCAGCTTGGCCACGTAACTGACAGTGATCAATCAAGAAGCTCTCATCGACATTTCATCTACCGTCTGACTGGTCCTAAAGAAGGTCTTTTGTCGAGTTGGTGACTGGTGACTGGCCACACTGTCAACAGTGAGGTAGACTCTTCTTGTGAGCTAGACGCTGGCCACATCCCCCCCACGCACTCTCCCCGCCTTGGTAGTTCTTGGCGTCATGTTCGAGGATGAATTTGAAGTACCTGAGGCGCTCACAGCATGTCTTTCAAAAGTACCCAGTACTCCATCCCCCAACGGTCGTTGGACCCTTCCGGTTCGTTGCTTCGGCGTGTGTTCAGAGCTTCGCTCGGACCGCTTCTTCTTTGGGACCACGACGACGACGGGGTCGGACTTGACGACTGAACAGTCCCTAGAGTTGGATGAGGCCAGGTCCCTGTTGTTGTCTCCCATCCCGACTGCCTTTAGTCAACAAACGAAATCCATGGGTTGGGAGGTCCCCCTTAAAAAAACACATCCCAAGACAGGTCTGGGAGACAGGTCTGGGAGACACATCCCCACACCCAGACCGTTGCTGATGCTTGATCGCCTCGTGGATCTTCCGAAACTCTTCCGCGATCAACGATCGGGGCTATCGACCGGAGTTGCAGGTTGTGCCGAAGAGGACGCTCGGCGGAGCGGGCGTGAAGGACCGGCCGAGTGGCGATGTCGAAGAAACGAAGACCTGGCAAAGGGACCCAAACTCGAAGGGACAGTGCATCGAGAATTTGGCTTGATGATCAGGGCCGTCAGGGTGTAAAAACACATCGCAACAGGTCAGGCTTTTCACATGTCAATATGGTGGCTTTTATTTTCGAACATCATCTCGATCCATAAGTTTCGATTGGCCCAAGGCTCATGGACTAGTTTGGACCAGTGCTCCAAAAACACGTTTGGGTATGGGGTTTCCAGCATGGCCCATGGGCACATCCGTTTTGGATCCCTGTCAGGTCAGGTCAGGAACACCCAGGAACACCGGCTCAGTTTCAGAAACTCCGACACCAACAGTTGCGTTTGGGGCAGCTTGAGGCAGCTTGGGGGAGCTTTCTGCTAGGAAACACATATTGGGGTGAGGAATTCGGTTTTAACTAAGTTTAATCTTGGGGCTCGAGCTGGGCTTGATTAATAAGGGGTGGTTACTTAATCCTGTGCCAACATTACTTACTTGTAAACCTTTATATTTCCCTGTGTCGAGATCAACCTTAAAACCTTGTATTTCTTTAAAGGCGGGACCTCTTTTTTACTACACCCTAGGATTCAAACAACCATTGTTTTTATGGTCTTTACCAAAGACCCCTTGTTTTGCTAAGGATTTCTACATTACACCACCAGCTCAACCGTTCTTTTAATGGTCTCTGAAGGCTAGGGTATATATTGTAATAATGGGTCTCCACCCACCAATTTCCCCGTTGGGTGTGCAAGTATATTTTCCTGATATCCTGTGTGTGTTTTTCCTAGGGTAAATTGGAGGATCCCTAGGAAATCATCAAAATGTGGTCTTATAAATTCATGTATTTTTTTTGACTTATGGAATCCTGTCCATCCTAAATTTTCAATCTTTTCTTGCAATGAATCAAACGTGAACTCCTTATTTCTTTAGAGGTGGAACCTTGATTCCTTATAAACGGGGGCCTGCTACAGGAAAAAATACTTGCACACCAGACGGTGGGGGTGCTTTGGGGTGAGACACCATGGTGTCACATATTTGTCCTCTACTTGAGGATGGAGACTTTACAGTCGCCAATCTGAACCCCGAGCCCAGCAACTGCTGTCACAATTCTACCAACAAACATGGAGAGTTCTACCTTTGTCAGGAGTTCCATGCCATAGGGAAGACCGGTTTACATGCATCGTGGTGTGAACTTTTTGCAGAGGAAACACAATCATGTACAATGTACCTTTGCTTTGCCCGCGCGGAAGTATGCTATAATGAACAAATTGAAGACTTGCTTTTCCAACATGTTCATCTTCAGAAAAACAAAACCAAACGTGTCCTGCCCTTCGGTCATTTCCATACGGGATCGTGTCCTGCCCGTCCTTCCCGGGGCTCTTAGGTCCCAACGAAGAAAGCCACTCGACTTCGGTCTTGTCTTGGCGGGGACGTCCTTGGCTGCCACAGACCGTCACCGTACCGGCCGAAAACGTCGAGAACGGGTGCTTTTCGGTCGCCGGGAGATTCGAACGTTGCGCCAACGACCCGGCGAAACGAACCGCAAACGACCAGGTTGATCACACCAACCGCGATAGCGGATAGCGCGCAAAGCTTTTGCAGAGCTGTACCGGGCCAAAGCTTTGGCGATTTGTGTGAACTGAATCTTCTTGCCTTCAAGCAGGGGCGCCCGTTAAAGAAATCGCAAATCCATTTTGATTGTCCCCATTCACATGGGTATCATCGACTTCTGTTTATGATATTCAACCAGTTCAAGCAGCTATGCGGATTCAACCAGCTAAGAGGAGGGGAACTCGTCTCTGTCGGATTGAACATGGTAAGAAGCAGTACATCAGGCGCCCCGCTGTTCGACGGAAGAAGCGATTCGGTTCATGGCTTGGTCGCTGGTCCTCCTTAAAAGCCTCTGGAGCGGCCCAACTTGTGATTGTTTTCAAAAAGAAACCACTTGCGCATGCTGAGAATGTTGCGGAAACGGGGGTCGAGCCAGTATTCTTGTGGAATTCCGCGGAAGGAATGGTCCGTTCCTTCACACTGGTACAAGTGGGATTCCAACGGAATTTTCTCAAGCGTTCCGAAAGGAACAATTGTCTTCATGTCTCAACCGGGCGGATGGGTGACTTGGGGTACCGCTCTGGCCCTGCCTCGACGGGCAAAGGCCCGGCACAAAGTGGCGCAGCTCGGCTTGAAACGACCGACACTAGCCTTGCAAATTGCCAAAGACAAAACGAGCGCTGCTGGATCCACCTGCAGATCTTCAAGGTCCTTCCCAAGTTCGATAATGGTGGCCTTGGAAGTGACCAAAACATCCAAACCTTCCAAACAGGTCGCAGACCAGGTCGCAGACCGCTACGCAGACCGCTACGCTTCGCTAAGGTCAAGGCATTCCGGATTCTCTGCTTCATCTTCTTCTCTTCAAAGAACTTCTTGAGTTGCTTCACACGGAAGCGCCGTTGCGCGTCCCGGATCTGGTCCGCGGTGGCATAATAGCTGCCGTTGCTGGTTAAGTTTGCATCGCATTCACGCACATGATCATGGGCGCCTCTGGATGACTGAAGTGCCTTGTGGCAGTAGCCGCAGAAATGCCCATGGCAATGTGCACACTCAAGCGCCATGCAACCATCGAACTCGGAGTAGACTTGCTTGCAATGTGGACAATGTAGGTTCAATGCATAGTTCCGGGCCTCTTTGGCCCATTGGTCTGCCTGCATCTTCACTTGCTCCTCCTGGGGGAACATCGTGCGACATGCTTTGTAACCCCCAAATCCTTGAACAGGAAAACTGTTTAAACATCTTGGCTTAGTGTGGTCCGAATTGGATTGAATTGGTAAGCCCTCCTCATTCCCGTATGATTCCATGAGCTCTTCCACCTTTTTCTGAAGCCTCTCATCAAAGGCTTGCTGCATCTTTTGAACATTCGCTGCCACCTGGGCATCAATGACGGCTTTCTGGAATTCCTTCCAAATCTCTTTGCCACAGCTCTTCGCGATGTCGCCATCTTCCACCTACACAACAAAAGTGCCATCAACTCGAAACAAGCATGTTTTTTGGAAAACATCTGCCAAGAAAGTGAAGGATTGCATACTTACAAGTAGAGTCACCAGTATCAGTACCATCAGTGGGGCTCAATAGAGTCCCCTTTTTGTGTAGAACCAACAGCATCCGCTCTGTTCGCATGCGGCGGGTCCCGGTCCCCGCATCTGTCGTCCGGGTTCCGCATCTCACACGGGCGGACAGCCCGCTGGTGCTGACGCCGCCTCTTGATGGCAAATGGCACAAAGAGCACTGCCTTTTTGAGCACCAAGGGCGTGAAGCTGAGACTTGAGCATCCTCTCCAAGCACTCGGCGCAGAAGAAATGTGGCTTCTCTCCGGAACATGTCACACCTTGACCAAGCGGGGTGCCATCTCCAAGGCTTTTCGTGTTGATTCAGCCAATATCTCTGACAAATGAATTCTCTTAGTACCAGGCTTTGCAAGGTGCCAGGCGGCCCAAGCATTCAGCTAGATCTACCAGAACATATATATAAACCTTGTTGTATCTGAGTAGACTAATCCATGAGCTGAATATGGTTTTCCAAACCAAGCTCTCAGGTCTCCTACTGAGAGTGCCTATCTCACTCTCTCTCCCCGGCCTTCATCTCTGGTGCACTCGTCCCTGCAGCCTTCACAAGTCAGGAGGGTGTCATACCTCGAGTCGCGAACCCACCAGTCGATCTGGCCAAAGACCTCTTGAGGCTTCCTGACACCTGGCAGATTTAAGGACCAAACCTCCACTTCTTCTTTCTGCCGATCGATACGAAGACTCACCAAATCAGAGTTCTTGCTGTCAGTAAAGGGCTCTGGACCATCCGTCTTCAACCGGTTGGACAACAACTCAATGACCCGCGCGTGATATCCTTTCCGCTTTGTCTCGTCATACTTCGGTCGCATGGGTCGCAGGTGGCGCTCAACTTCTAACTGGGCATCTCTTACATTCTGCTCTGGCCCTTGGATTTGGAGCGTCACAGCATCCATCTCGTTCCATTTCAATTGAAATTGACACATGGACTCCAGCTCCACGTCCTTGATCTGCTTCCACAAGGTCATCTTGGGATTCTGAAGCACCTTCACCTCCAAGCAAGTCAGCGGCAAACAAACCACACGCCGCGAACTGTCCGCAGCTTCTTCGAACAGTTGAGATCTCAAGATTTTGGGTGGTTGAACAACCTCCTCGGACATCTCCGGAAGGAACTCCTTGATTTGGAGTCTGGACTTGGTGGGATATAACTTCTGCTTCATCTCTTCTTCATACTTGCTGGGCTGTTGCAGTTCATCGTGTGCGAAAGCACAATATTCACCATACTTGCACTTTGCACCGCGACAAAATGCCTCGCAGAACTTGGTGTGGAAATTCAGTGGATGGTATGCCTTCTCAGGTCCTGTGAGGTCTGCTTCATCTGGGAGATATGGAATCTCATAGGGGTTTCGCCTCTGGTCCACGCCTCCTTTGTGGAAGAATGCACACTGAAGCCAATCATGGCCCAACTTGTTGGTACATTCCTGTGTCTTCCATGTTGACAGGAATTTCTTCACATCACCTCAAACAGATTCAAACAGGGCCATCATTCTCAAGTGGACAGTTCTTCAATGCGAGGATGTCGATTCTCAGGCCGATGACGTTAAAAAGATCTACGCAAGAGTTGGTTGTGACACTAGCTACGACCCCTCGAAGAAACAACATTGGTCCCAAATGAGTCTAAGGCGAACCCATCATGATCCCACCATTTGCTTGCCGTAAGCCGCAAACACATCAAAACACATCAAACGTCTGTTGTCAATATTGTCAAAGACCCCTTCAGATATTTGCGACCTAACTTCAGGGCATTTCTGCGCCGGAGCATCTGCGTAGACCCTACAGAACTCGGCCCCTCCGACAAACGGGCGTGGCTGGGTTCGACACGGTACGGTACGGACGACCGCGGCGTCGATTCTCAGCATAGGCACCCACGGTCTGCGAGGACGTTGCGCTGGCGCTGGGGCGCTTCGATCTTCGCGGCGGCTTGGCCACCGTCCGCCACTCGTCCATGGCTGTCTGCGTGGAGGAAGCGGAGAAAGAGGATGTCCAGGGGTTCCAATCGTTCTCAGAGCGTCCTTGCTCCTATAGTAGTAAGGTGCCCTGCTACGATCGCAGCTATTTGCTAGTCCATCACATGTCTTAAGATGGGAAGCCATGGCATTAACGATCCTTCGGCATGCATTGCTGAGGGCTAGAGGAGCCCTTGAAGAAGGGCCACGGCGCAAAAGAATCCATGAACTTGAGCTACGGTCAGGATACCTTATCGTATCTGATAGACCAAGCTCACTTTACAAGCTGAAATCTTGGAGATACTTTTTGTCGTTCATCTGACTCCCCAAAGGGTTGGGTAGGTGAGAACTGCAAGGAGTCGAAGTCTGAATGTGCTTCGTCTTCACGAATTCCCAAACATCCACTGTGGCAGCCACAGTCGCTCCACGATGCCCTGTAGAGTCACACTGTCAAGGGGTCCAGAGTGACACTGCGAACGAATCAAAAACATATTCAACATGGTCCTTCTTAGTGAGTAATCATGCAGTGCAAAAAAGAACACGGTCGACTTGATCTTTGGCTGGTTTTGGGGGGGGTCGACGAATTGGATTGGCCAGCCCCGGGATGACCCTTTTCCTTTACGAAAAGGTGACTTGTCAAGTTTGATGTTGCTCGGGTCCGAGTATGGGGGGCGCAGCACAGAATAGGAGACCCCTCAGTTCAACCTCTCGTCTAGACAGACGAAATCTGGTTGTGAGGTTCCCCCTATTTACGGAAAAGACATCGGATCTTCCGTTGGAATTTCTGCCCACGATGGCTTGGCTTGGCCTTTTTCTTCATGAACAGGCAGAAGCATCTGCCATCGGTTTGGAAGAGCGTCTCCGTCTCAACCTCTTCGGGTCGTCCACTGGGACCTCCGGACCGAACCGGTTCCGCCGGTCCGGCCCGGAACGGCCCGGGGGAAAACGAGCCCCGTCGTCGGTGTTTATCCCGAAATTCGGTGCCAAGGCGGAAGTTCAACCCTCCAACCCTCCAACCTTTGAATGCGATGGCCTAGCCTCCAACCCTCCAACCTTGGAATGCGACGGTGCCTTTCGGACCGAAACTCAGAGAACAGAGATTTGAAGCGAAGTTCGTCCGCTGTGTGGAGCGAATTTCCGCTGGACCGGGAATCTCGAAGCCCTCAGCGTCCCCTTCCTCCCTCCGTCTTTGCCGTTCAAGAGAGTGTCAATCGGTCGATCCAAGATTGGACTTCAAAAGGATCTATCGATTGAATGGTTTTTGGGGAAGAGGCCCAATACCATTTCTTTTTCACTGAAACGCTTTGTCGGTGCCACTCACAGATGTTTCAGCTCTTCTCCCAAGGAAGCAGCTAGAACCTTCGAAGGGGATTGACGCTCCAAACACGAAAGGACGACCAAAACCACCGGAGGTTTTCGACTTCCCAGGCGTGGAAGTGGTCCGCGTGGCGGTGTCGGCGACAGGTCCAAAAGCAGGTACCAAATGCATCCAAGCTGCGGTAGTCCAAGACCATCGAAAAAAGGCGTTACAACGAATTGGTATCAGCTATTATTTATATATAGAAACAGGTGCCACGCTAGTAGTAACAGGTGCCTTACTAGTAGTAACAAGAAGCTATTAGAAACAAGTGCCACGCTTATATATGTAAGTCACATGTCATGTTCCTTGCCTTCCATTCGAAGGTCTTCCTGGCTTTCCTCCGCCCGCCGCGTGGAGCCCGAACCGCTCGGAGCCCGGTTCTTCCGGCTCGTGCGACCGGGCGGTGTGTCGATCGATCCAGGTCACCCGGTGCTGCGGTCGCCAGCTTGTCGGTGGGGAGGGGGTGTGACTCAGTGTCTGAACCAAATACACACAACTTCCCCACCACCGCAAGACGAAAGTGCCTGCTGGGCATTGCTGGGTGGCATGGATTTGAAGAGCCGACTGTTGTGTCAAACCGTCGTTGTGCTTTGGATAGATTCGCAACCGCCCAAAAAAGCATCCAGCTGATACATGACGCAAACATGTCAGGTCCTGCAAGACAAAAAATGATGGTGACATGGTGTGACTTGAACAAGCATCATTCTGCCCAGACGCTCCAAACAGCCCTTGGTCCCTCAAAACCCTAGGGATTTGAGGGTCCGGACCCCTCCATATGAGGGTCCGGCCCCTACTTTACGGATGGTCCATGAGCGTCTACTTGAACAATGCCGAGACCAAGAACAACCAACAGTGATCATAGTGATCCAGAATTGCCAGAATGATTCAAGTAGGAATAAATAGGGGCTTCTCCTGCTCTTGATCTCCACACTTGTCTCTTCTTATCTGCACTAAACCTGAGCCCCCACCAGAAAACAGAACAATCTCCTGCCGATGCGGCTTTACGCAGCTTTTTTGCAGCACTTCTTGCGTCGACGCATTGCGCACGTCCGTGCACACGTCACGCATCATTCGGTGGGTGGGGGAAGATATGTCAGCTCTTGTCGAAACCATGCCTGGCCACGGTGTCCCGCGTGGGAATGGGGCCCCGTGGTGCTCGTCGTCGGCGCCGGTGGTATGGAGTGGGTGCTCGTCTCATCACCAATGCGTCAATCAATGACTTGTGACCAGAGGCCCCGACCAAATAGTTGGACACCCTTCCGAAACCCACAGTGGGCTGATCAAACACACACTGTAGTCACTGGAGGGTTGAAGGACTCCTTCGATGTCTTTTTCCGAACCGAACTTCCACATGGGCACAGCTCCCGCTCCTCACAAACATATTGCTTTTCAGCTCTTCTTCAGGTCATGGCCACTTCTCCCATCTTTGTTCCAAACGCATTCGACCCTCGGCTCCCTTGGCTCCCACCACGGCCCGAACCCATCGTTGGCGCCCGGTGCTATTACGGCATAGTATGTCCTGCCCCCGGTGCTGTTCGTGCTATGCCAGCCGCCTCGTCGGTCTTGTGATTGCCGAAGGTCCACTTGAAGGCCTTTCGGGAGAACTTCACGCCAACCTGGGTCAACGGAGGTCTGATCGAGCGCATGAATGCACGCGCTTGCGTGGAGAACGGGACGAGAACGCACCCAGCCCTGTTTCTTCTTGGGAAGAAGGGTCCAAGTGGTCATGGTGTTGGAAGATGGGGAAAGGCATTGGGATGGCTGATGAGTCGGTTAGTCTCTGGGAATCAACAATCGATAAGTCCTCCTCAAGTAGCCTGGGTTGTGGCACGCTTCACTCTCAGGCTCTCTGCTGATGTCTTGCTGTTTGACTCTTTTCGTACTCTACCCCCTTTCAGAAGTCATTTCGGTCATCGAGGATTGACATCCAGGTGATTAGGCACTCGGCCGTGGAAGAGAAACTGCACCTTTCCACTGGAAGAGCTACCCAAGAGCTTGCACCCCCTGCTCACAGAAACACGTGACGACATACGAAAGGTTGACATCTACCCCTGAGAAACCAAACGACATCAATCAACACAAACCGCAGCTCGTCAACCGAAACCACACCGCAGCTCGCGGTGTTAACACCACGACCGAAGAAAACAGAACAGCACCTGAGATGCTACTCACGATATCAAATCGAATCCTATAAGATCCCATCGACATCGGTAGCCAGGGGTATCTATCGACCATAGGACCCGGAAAACCAGCATTATCTATAGGATAGTCGAACTCATTCGGGTTCTGACCCACCTCTGCTGGATCCGACCTCGTCCTTTCCCTTCGTCCGAACACTCCACGGCGGCGCAGCACCGCACCTGGTCCACTTTCGTTGCCTCCTGAGGCGACGACCAATCAAACACGGCGACGCGCCACCTCTCCCAACGAAGACGAAGTTCCTGCAGAACACTTCGGTGGGTGCTATTTGGCACCTATATATGAACTACCCAGACGCTCCTGGACCCTCATATGCAAGGGTCCGGACCCTCAAAACCCAATGGTTTTGCCCGTCGGGCGTCGTTCACGGAGCGTCTGGGTAGATGATCAGCGTCACCTGGATGAAGTCTTTCCGGAGTCATCTGAGGTTTGGATGCGGCTTCACCCTTTCCAGACCGCGGTGAGAATGACTGCAAACTTCACGTTGATGTTTCATATATAGTGATCCCCAAATAGATAGTGGCACGGTTTCCAACACATTTTTGTTTGGGAGATACTTTTCTATCCATGACAGGGGGTCTATATAGACCTCTCAAAAATTATGAGCAACATGATCATGTGCACTGAGCAGCATGATGCTGAACTACCAAGCTCCTTGCAGATCATGACAGGACAGCAATAGTTTGATTTTCCTTGAAGAGGACCACTTGAGATACTTGTGCAAAAATATATAGCAAAGCTACTATATATATGTATGGCTATGTATGGCAATAGTCTTGAAGAACTCAAGGCAAATTCCTTCTTCTCCCACGAACCCACGAACCTTCTTCTCCGTCAGCTGCTGAGAAGAGCTCTCCTGGAACGTGGACCGGGAGCAGTGGATCATGACTGACCTATTCGTGCACATGGCGCTACTCTTTCGACCGATGACCCACCACGACCGATGACCCACCAGCAAAGGTTGAAGAACTCTATAGGCTATCCTATAGATACCCCAGTAGGGTCCTATTTACGGTCACTTAACCTCTGTTGGCAGTTCTCCGCCATGTCAGTTGGCCTCTTTTGCACACGACACCAGTGGCCTGATCGCCCGCCCTGGAGACCGATCGAAGCCAGCGAGACTTTGGCTAGGCTTCGTCAGAAAGGCACCGCACATTGTGCGGGCCGGTCAGCGCACCTTAAAGATACCTGAGACCCAGGCGAAGGGTCGAAAAGAGGATATGACTGAAAGAGCCTTGTGTTTCACACGTGGTGTTTCAGCTGGGTCTTCCAAAAAGCTCTGCACGCAGGGCCCAAGGGATACATTCAACCAACGTTCATCACTGACTGAGACGACTTCTTCACTCACATCATGCAGCCTGGCTAATGCATCCCATGTGCCGAGTATAAGCATACCTCTTCAGAAGCCCTACTGTCACTGTGCATCTATATAGTTTGGACGCCGATGTGCTCCATCCGATTCCGACGCCGGGCCGCGGCAAAAGCACCCTTCGCCACTTCAGCTGAAGGTCTCCGGCAACAGGTTTTGGGCCAAGCGCTCCACCTCACAGGGTGGTGAAGAGAAGCAAGCGGGCGTGTGAGGGTGTGACGTATCACTCGTTTTGTTCCTGTAGCTTCTTGTTACTAGTAGTAAGGCCAGGAGCCCCGTTCGCAGCGTCCCTTTTAATGTTTCCCCAAACAGGAAGGACTCGATTTCTTTGGGAAAGCGACGCACACCAAGAAAGCACCCCGAAGCCGATTCTTTCTGCAGAACAAGTCCCAAAGCTTCAGCTGTGGTGCAACAGGTCATGTTTCTTTCGGAAATCCATGGAAAAGCGATCCCAGCAAAAAGAGGTCTTTGCACATGTACACTACGTCGCTTGGGTAGGAAACCACTGGTGCTCAAGGAGATCATCAAGTGGATAAACTGCTATCTTCATACCTTGGACATTCTTAGACCCAGATCTTCAAGTCTTCAAGTCTTGGATAAACTGCTATCTTCCTTCAGATCTTGGATCAGCTATAGTTCAACAGCTATAAGACCTCCGGGCTTTTTGGGGGGTTCTCTTCACCCGAAGTCTTAGACCACAAAGGCGCCGCCTCGCCCCCGCGCGGACCGACCGAGGTGCCGAGACGTTGCCGTCGGCGTCGGGCTCCGCGAGGCGCATGAGCTCCCGGAGCTCCTCGTCGCTGAGCCTCGGAGCGGCAACAGGGTTAGGTGGAATGGATCGTTTTCACAGGAACAGGAAGCAGTGGTCATACGCTTCTTGGCAGTGGAGATGTTGCCACTTTTTCTGGAAACGACGGATCAACGCCTTCGCTGTGCGAAGGCCTGAACGCTCATCGAACTGCCTGAACGTCTGGAACGACGTTGGGTGAATGAACACGGTCCTTCGGAAGCCTCTCCAACAGGTCCAACGAATGAATGGACGTGCTTCCTTTTTTCCACCCAAAATTGGGATGTGACTGCCCAACAAAAACCCTAGCTCCCCATCCAAACGAAAGAACGTTCCTTCAGCAAACGCAATGCTGTCCGAGACCTTCCCCTGACCGCATCGGATGGATAACCTCACTCTTCAGCTTCGACCCTGATCGCTGACCACGTGGTCAGATGCGCCTCACTTAGGCCAAAAGCTCGGCTCGTCCGACCCACCCGATGCTCGGAAGGAACTGGTCGGATGCCGCCGACGTCGCCGCTGTCCGTACCTTTTGGCCTCCACCGAAGCTTGGTGCTTCACCAACCAAAAGACCACGGTAAGACCCGTTCACCTACAAATATCCAAGCAAATATCCAACTGACACCCGGGAAGTCTCCCCTAGGGATTCTTAACCCATCGTCAAAGGTGATTGAAACGCTCAAGCCTTCCGGTCGGCTCCGACCTGTCAAGCCCGTCCAGCCCGGCGGGTGAGGAGCTTCTCGCCGAAGTGGGTCACGATGAAGCGCAGGGCCTCTCCATCCACGAGGCCATCTTGCGC